ACGCTGACCTGGGTAGCGCTGACGCATGCGGACCCTGCCACTGGAGCCTTCGATGGAGCTCCCTATGGGCCCACGAAGCGCTGTCTTGGGTGGCGTTGGCGCATGCGGACCCTGCCACTGGAGCCTTCGGCGGAGCCCCGTATGGAGCGACGGAACGCTGTAGTGGGTGGGTGGCACGCAGGGAAGTGACGAGGCGGATGGGAGGACGGAGGAAGGGGAAGAAGACGGGGAGGAGACGGAGAGGAGAGGAGGGACGCGGGGCGCTGTTTCATCAAAGCGAGGACCCAACACCACAGGATGGTTGGTGGGAGGAAGGGGGGAGGGGGAGGAAGGTGAGGAGGAGGAGAGGAGAGGGGAGGAGGAGGGACGCGGGGCGCTGTGTCTTCAAAACGAAGACCCAACACCACAGGATGGTTGGGAAAAATACAATGCGCGCGCTCGCGTTTGTCAACAATTATCTATTTCCAAAAACCCTTTGCATAGGATGGGGCGGGGTGCGCACGCGCGCGTCGTCGCGCGCGCTTCCCGCACCAAGTCAAACACCTTAGGCTTCGTAGGACAAAATCAACTGCACGAAACACAAAACAAACGCATGATTTTGCAATACGAATGTTGAAACACAATGGCGCCCGCGTCCTTGCGAACTCCTCAAGGAAAACACCATAGGTATTTCAACACGTTCGTAACATGCTTGCTTACACCTTGGCCTCTCGCGTGCGCGTCGAAATCGTTAGTACGCCCTTGCGCGAGCGTGTTGTCGCAAGAAACATTTGCAACAAATGGGGCAAACTGCACGCGTGCGCGTCGTCGCGCGCACATGCCGAAATTCCTTTCTCTGTAAAAACAGCGTAGCGAATGTATAATGAACACAACGATGATACATATAATCACAAACCCTCGGTTTCCAAGGATTTCCAAACCGAGTGCCCCGACAACGTGTAACAAACTGGGCTTCCCAACATCAGTTGTCAAACAGCCCGGCGCTCGCGCTCTTGCGGATCCATAAAAAACAATGGGTGTCCAACATGCTCATCAACTTCTGCCAAGCGTGCCTTTCGCGCCGCACGCCGAACCCATTCGAACGCCCTTGCGCGCGTGCTGGGGGCTGGGGAGGGGGGGGGGGGGCACGATCCGCGTCAAATAATACAGCGCGGGCCAATCGCGCGCGTCGGCCGCGCGCGCATGTCGAACTCCTCCAACAACCTTCTTCGCCGACGCGAAGATATCGTCATCGTTGGCGGCCAGCGTGATCGACATCGGCGCCGTCATTGGCCTTCCCGTCGTCATCGCCACCTTCGTCACCATCGCTGCTCTCATCATCGTGTCTACCAGTGTCGGCGTCGCCAAAAAAACACGCCCGCCAAAGTCACCGACTCGCACTGAAGTGCCCGCTGGGAAGTGCCCAGCGGTCAACGCCACCACGGCCGCATCGGGCACGCCAAACTAGCTGGCCGCTGTGCGCGCGAGCCTGCGCGCGCGCTATCGCGGCTGCAGCGATTTGCCAGCCAGCGCCAAGCAGTCATCGCAATCGCCGCTGCAGGGGTTTTGCAAACCAAGTTGCAGGTGGGTGGGTGGGGTGATTGCGCGAGCATGCGCGGGCTAGCGCGGCCGCAGAGATGCACGAGCCAACGCCAGACGCTCATCGCAATCGCCGCCGTATGGGTTTTGCAAACCAAGTTGCGGGTAGGTGGGTGGGATGTTTGCCAGACCATGGGATGTGTCAGCTCGTTGTGAGAAACTAATTGCGCCGCGTAGATTGCACCACTTAGAGTGCACACCGTAGGTTTCACAACAAGGATTTCCTTTCCTACAAAGGAGCTAGGATTTACCACCACCCCCAGGGTTATCCGCTCACCCTGGGGATTTGTAGTTCATATGAGATGCTGTCCCATGGTTCGTTCGAAATATGAACTTATACCGTCCCATTCAGGCCGGGCTTGATACCCCACTCATCATCCCGTCAAATAATGCTATGCGCAATCCTCGTCGCCGTCGCCGTCGCCGTCACCACTCCTCGTCTTTTCCCGGATTCCTTCTCCTCCAACGTTCCAGCCGAGGCGACAATGACGGACGTTGAGTTAAATCGAAAATCCCTTCCCTTTGATCCCTGCCCCAGGTAAAGAATCGAACTCTATACACCTACGCGTTTTCCGGCCCTGCATTGAAATTTGCACTGGAGAGCGGATTCTGGTGTATACGGGACCCTGGTGTATACATTTTTACACCACACCACCCCAGAGTCGTCCCCGACCCTCAAAAAAGACCTGGGATTGAAAAACAACCCGCCACTGGTAATGTATATGTTCCAGTTTGCGACCATGGGGTCCCCAAGGGGGGGCCTGGGGGAGGTCCCTGGGGGGGTCCCGTGGGGGGGTCCCTGGTCAGAATGCCACTTCTCCGGGAAATAATGACCCGCCCCATGTCGGCCCACGGCCCACACCCCACGTTCGCATGGTGCCCCGCCCCATTTCAGCACACACACACACACACCTCGCACGTTCCGTGACCCTATCGGGAGCTCCACCGAAGGCCCCAGTGGCTGCGTTCGCAGGGTGCCCCAACCCATTTCGGCACACCCGCCCCCCCCCCCCATCCCTGACCCCCCAGTCGGGGACCCCTGCACCTCCCTCCTCGCCCCTCCTCTGCCCTTCCTGTCATCCCTCCCCCTCCTCCCTCCGCCTCCTCCTCCTCCTTCCTGCTCCTCTCCCTCCTCTCTCCCTCCTCCTCCTCCCTCCTCCTCCTCCTCCCCCTCCTCCCTCCTCCTCCTCCTCCTCCTCCCCTCCTCTTACCTTCTCCTCCTCCTCCTCCTCGTCCTCCTCCTCCTCCTCCTCATACTCCTCCCGCCTCGCCCTCCGCCTCCGCCTCCTCCCCTCCTTCCCTTCTCCTCCTCCTCCTGCTAGCTCCCTCCTCGTCCTCCTCCTCCTCCTTCCTCCTCCTCCTCCTTTTCTCCTCCTCCCTCTCCTCCTCCCCCCTAAAAAACCTCCAGCCTCCTCCTCATCCTCCTTCCTCCCCCCTCCAGCCTCCTCTCCTTCCCTCCTCCCCTCCTCCTCCCCCTCCTCCCTCCACCCCTCTTTGCGCGAGCAGCGGGCCAGCGGCAGCAGGTCAAGACGACGACGACGACGACGGCGGCGACGACGACGACGACGGCGACGACGACGACGACGACGGCGGCGACGACGACGACGACGACGACGACGAACAGCGACCGTTTCGATTGCCACCAGCCTTGCCGATGACAAC